ATTGGACAATGACAACTCTTTGCCAGAAGAGAATGTGTCGTTTCAGAAGGACGGTATTCCACCACATTATGCCGTAGCTGTGCGTGATTTTCTTAATCAGAACTTTCCAAATCACTGGATAGGACACAGAGGTTCAATTGAGTGGCCTCCCCGATTGACAAATCTAATGCCTTTAGGCTTTTTTCTATGGAGACACATCGAAAATTTAAGTAACACCGCACGCACTTAAGAAGCTTCGTCGGCGAATTGTTGAAGAATGTCCTCAGATAATGTCCGAAATGCTTCGTAATATTCGTTCGGAAGTGGAGCAAAGATTTTATTAATGTATGGAAGTGGAGGGAAACCTATTTGAACATTTAATAAAATAACATTCTTTGATTCACTGATATTTTGTCTTATTCTTTAAGTGATGATTTTATTGTCAGATCCAAAATTTAAAGTCGTATGTCGTCGTGAGCAAAATTGAAAATGCTTTAACATGAGGTGTCATTTAAGTTTAAGGGTATTTTATGCCCCTGCCTAAGGGGTAGCTTCCAAGATTCCAAAACTTTCGCCATTATATGTCCCCCTTGAAAAGAAAATCGACATCTTAGGTTTTTTTGTTTTTTTGTTTTTTTTTTAATTCCGATATTTTCCAGGTGGGAAGTTTAATTGGGACACCCTGTATACAATTACCAAATTTTATCAAAATTTAATTTTAACAAAATTACTGGTCACGTCGCTTCTGATCACTTATTAAGGCTCTGTATAATTAATTATTTTTTGAGAAACATTACTTGTGTTCTTACCCGTATGTGGTGTAGAATATCTCTATTATTTACTAAAAGTCACACTTCTAGACCAAATTAATGCATTACTTTTAAATTTGACCTTGCTTGTTCAACAATTTATAGTAATTTCAAATAATGTTTTGTTTACTCTGTATTCACATATATGTAAAATATAAGACACTTATTTTTCTTTCCATTTTAATATGTGCAGATGAATCATTCATTAGTAATAGTATACCTGTTGATTTATATAAACATCCTGTAGCTGTTGCAGCAATAATTGTATTGAGGTCATCATCTGTCCCTCTGGCCCATGATAAAAACACACCAAATGCTGAATATATCACAGCTACCGAACCACATGTATTTGCTGTAGCACTTCCTTTTTTCATAATATGATTTAACATTCTAAAAAGTCATTTATATCAATACAAATAGCCAACAACACTTGGAAACATATAGAAAGCACAGCAAAAGTATTTTCTGCATTTTCATGATATCATTTTAATTTACTTAGTATAAAATAAGAATAATTGTACAAATGTAGATAAGGCTTTAATATATTTCGTATTTTTTGTAAAGAAACATACTGTGTTCGTCTTAGCTTTCCCGTTTGACCAGCTAATGTAGTTGCTTTTAATCCATTGTAAAATCCAGTAGCTCCCCCTAATGTTGCACCGATCATACATGATCCACCAATTTGGCCAAATGCAAGTTCAAATCTTCCTCTCTGTTTACTGGCGCCATCCAAGAAAATAAATTCCGGCTGACTTTGTGGAATATATCCAGGGTCATAATTTAGATACGGAGACGAGAACGGTTTAAAATTACCTACAAATCATCATTTTTTATGTAATCAATAGAGTGATTGAGGTTAAATGATCACACGCTGGTGTTAAAAAAATATTAATACCTGTTACACGGCTGGAGTTTTCATAATTCTGCGAATAAATATCGTTCCCATCATTTAAAGAAGACATAGTTTACGTTTTTTGGGGGGATTTTGTCACAGTTTTCAACAAATTTTAAAGATACTTCTCGATGGAATATTCTAAAAAAGGAAGTTAAACGTCAAACGCCAAACCTAGCGTCAAACAATTGATCTATTTTACCACACTAGTGCCATCTGCTACCATATAATCGCAGAGTACGAAACAGTTAACCTTAACCTGTACATTTTTTACGTAACTGTCAACAAAAATTTCAAATGCCTTCAAAAACTATAGAAAATATTCCCAAACTTGATAACAATTTAGAACCGCACCAGGATGAATTTCAGCAGCTAGGAGAACTGGCAGGAATTTATATGGACCATAAAGTATTCAGGTATTCGTTTTTTTTTGTTTTCAAATTTTTATTTTTAAATTGTTAAATGAAAATCAGTGACAATAAAAATGTTTTAGAATCCTTATTGAATTGCTGAACATGGGCATTGATCCAGATACTATTTACAATCTACTAAAAACCATCAAGCGATCAAGAAATCCAAAATCTCGATCTTCGGTAACATCTCAAAAATCTTCATCAAGAAGTAAAAACTAGAAGTTGTTCCTACCTCCTTTTGATGTAATACTGTCTATGAATTTATTATAACATGTAATCTACATATACTAATTATTATTTAAACATTTACATTTGAATCTCAATCTCAATCTCAAAAAAGGTGTCTCTTGTAGCTGGATGAAACTGGCAAATAATCTGTGTAAAGGTAAAAATTTACTGAATTCAGGACGTAAACATGTGTCAGTAGCGGAGACACCAAGAATTAACAGTAAGAACCACACAAAAATTAAATTCCAGTGGATATTTTCAAAATTTTATCAGTTGTAAACTCCTAGTTTACTCCTATTTTAATAACTATTCACATACATTTTTATACACGATTTTTAACACAATCATGAAAAGTTTGAGAAAATAATTGGCATGATTTTTCCGGGCCCTTCAGATTAATCATATGAGTGTTGTAATCAAAATTATATTTCTAATGAAAAGATCACATGATCCTAATAGTACTGACAATCTTGAGATGTCAGTCAGTATGACCGGTTGCTGAAGAGCAGAGAGAGAAATACCCAAAATATCATTATTTTAATAGTGAATGCTAATTAATAATTGTTCAAATGTTGTATTGAATGTTTGAACAATCACTAGTCAGCATTCACTATTCAGGTACTGAGTACTTTGGGTATTTCTCTCTTTTGTACTGTTTACATTTTTTACCCAATCTTTTCCCAATTTGTAATCAATGTAGTGTGTCCTTTTTTTTATAATATTCAGTCAGTTTTGAATAACGATACTATGACGATCCAAGATTGAAGAACGTAGCAAATTCGTCTACAAGAAATACTTTCAATTCTTTCAGGGAAGTCGGTCGATAGCCGCACGGTTTAAGGCGTCAGTACTTAAATCGATGTGTGCTATCTGCCTGGGGTTCGAATCCCGCGGCCGGTAGACCGTAGATTAGCTATGCTTGAACGGAAGATTGGCACCCTCTGTGCAGGTATGGTAGGGTGGAAGAATGTTGACTTGAGTCAATGTGAGAGATTGACACCGGTTGGCATTTGACCACCCCCCTAATTAATGAGGTTTTTCAGGTTTCCCTCATTCCTGCACTGAATGGTGGTTAGGGCCTACCAACATAAATCGTTCCTGGGCGCAAATGCGGCCTGCTTAATAATAATATGCCGCCTCCTCTCCCGCACAAGTCTCCGACTTCTGGGCTAATTCTCGTAGAATGAGGAGTAGAGATATTATTATTATATTATTATTAAATCAGTCATCACACTAACGAAATTTCAAAGAAAATTCCTGTCTCACCAACCTTTCATAGACTTACTAGACTAGATCGCGCAGATCTGTATAAAGGGTTGCCTAATCTACGGGCTGAAGCATTTCCAAATTCCACTTTTTGTAGGAAAAATATATTTATGATTTAATACAAATTTAATTGTTATAAAACAGGCCTTTATGGCAAATTGTATATGACTTTCTCGTTTTGGCTCTAACTTTAGCCTTTCTGGGTATTAGTACCCAGAAAGGCTAGAATGAAGATGCGTTAGATGTAGTGTGAACTTTTTAGAGCCACTGTTTTATTGAATAGGACAGGTACAGGCACAAAACAGGGTACAGGTGTAAAATAAAACGTAGTTTAAAATGTGTTGAAGTACCACCTGCAAAATCTTTTTCAAAATTTGTAAATATAACGGATTTATAAATATATTAGTATCGACACATTTTGTATTAATAAAATTTACCTTAAATGATTATTATTGTTAAAAGTCGTCATTCAGCTTTAACGTAAACAAAGATTGTACCTTTTGCTACTAACCTAGAAATTCGCAATGTCAGTTGAAGAAGAATTTGAACTAAGAGATTTGGTGGCTCAGACCTTAGAAACTAACGGATGTCTTGCTAAAATTAAGGTATGAAGGATATAAAAATATGACTTCATTGTTGTATAATACATGTATTTCAGGCACAACTACGAGCCAGTATTTTTCTTGCCTTGGATGAAGATGTAGAGGTAACTTATATAATTATTTATTCAAGTCGATTACTAATTAAGTTAAGTTGTAGATAAGCAAACAACAGCCTTTACTGAATAATAAACTTAAAATCCACTTGGAGGCTGAAGAGGGAAAAGTGATGTTTTGTGTTGTGCGTGAGTTTTTAGAGTTTTTTAACTTGTATTTCACTTTGTCAGTGTTTGATCCCGAGTCTTACATGGGAAATGGCTATAAATATGAAGGTCGAGAGAAGGTAGCCAAAGACTTGGGTTTAGATAATGCTGACGATACTAAAGTTCCTCTTTTAATGCAACTTATTAAAATTGCTCGAGCAAAAACAAAAACCTTAGAAATAAATTTAAATGTGAATAAGGATGATTTAGAAGAAAATAGGTCAATACATGATAACTCAACAAGTAATTTGACCAAGACTGATTCCAATAATGTACCTTTGGACGAGACAATTACAATTCTGGATAGTGATAAAATACTAATAGAAAATTGTAATTCAGTTCCAGAAAAATTAAATATTACATTTGATTTAAGCAGTCCTACTGTAAATTTTAATATTGTAAATAATCCTGAAAATATGAAAACACAGACGGCTCAAATAGATGTAGATTCGAAGCATCAAATTTTAGAAAATACTTTTAACAAAAAGGAAGAGAAGGATGATGATACTTATGGTGATACTAGCTCTATAGCAGAAGATAGTATTTCCCTTGTTAATTCAGAGAATGTTACAGTTCCTCAGATAACTGTAAATGGTTTAGGGGACAGTACTTTAATAAGTGAATTTGTAAATGATGTGGAAATTTTCCAACCGATATTGAAAGAATGTAAAACATTGGATAAACCTAAAGTATCTCCACAAAAACCTGATAAATTGAAATCAAAAAATAGTTTAAGCACTTTATCGGATCTTCCGCCTTTACAAGTGAACAAATCCCGTGTTAATGATATACTACCTTCATTGTATAGTAAGGAATTTAAAGATAAGTCAAATTTACGTGAGCTCGATAAGCTGTTTGATATGGAAGCCGAATATGAAGAAGATTTTATCTGTAGTGGTGATGATTTGTCTTTAAAATCTGAGTATATGAAATCCGATCATACAAAATCTAACCCATTGGATGATCTACATCAATCTAACAAATCAACGAGTTCCGATAAATCCATTTCAAGTAAAAGAGATTTAAAACAAAAAGTTCCTAACAGAATTATATCTGATTGTAATAAACAGATGTTTAAAGCTCTGGTCAGTAGTTCGAAAACAAAAGACACATTTAAGAATACGGATACTGCAAGTAAGAGTGAAGTTGGCAGCAATACTGTTAATGAGAGTTTGGACATTAATAATTCTGTTTAGCAAAAAATATATATATTTAAGACAATGGCAGCTGTACTTATTTTATACAATCATAGATTAAATGACAATAAATTGCACACTTTCTGTTCATGTATAAAATGAATAGTTTGTTAAAATAGATACGTCGTTAATTTTTTTATAAATTTGGGCGATGCCTTCTTTTACCTTAGAATTTACTAATTGTCAAAGCTTTACTACTTTATTCATGAAAGTATATTTGCGAAGTACAAATTTGTCCCTATAAAAGACTTGATCTTAATGGCAATATAACTTCAAATATGTTTATTAAAATTTATTACTACCTAACTTTTGTATTTTTAAATATTTTTTAACATTAGTTCATTTTTTGCCATTCAAAACTTTAATAACTCAACAGACCTTAAAGGTCTAGCTCTATTTAAGAAATATTTGTGTGGAATTAAAGAACAAGTTTTATATTTTTAAATGG